GTTGCATTAGTAGAAGGAAGGCAAGATAATAGAAATGAAGATGAAGACAAAGATGAGTGAGGATGAGCGAGGCTTCACGTGCATTTCGGATTGTGAAGGCGATTGTTACTTCACGGCTGCCCACACCGTGGAAGTTGGTTGCGTGACCGCATAGCCCAGGGGACAACTGCTTGAGACCGGTCACACACGGCCTGTTTTTGTTTGTTCTTTTTCATCTGGTGTGTCTCAGTAGCATATTTATCACTTCTGCCCTGTGACACGGCAGCAGGAAGCGCGTTCGTTGTTAATCTGGGCCCCGACCGATCCGGCATGATATTTTGTGATTTACTTTGAGTCATAGCATTAGGTTGGGTAACTGCTTTTTGTCTAATCGCTATCCAAACAACTTTTCTGGCATGGTAGGACCTCAAGCGACATAAGTCTCAGCCATTATAGCTTGTTGGATCATTGTGGTGTTCAAGCCCGACCACCACGTCAAGGTAGCATCTCTCGGTCGGGAATGTTTTTACAAGGGACAAACGAAGTATGTGCGAAGCTCTATTCTAGAATATCTGATCGACTCCTGTCACTCTGACAACCCTGATCATGATTTTAAGATTTACCGAATCCATGCTAACTTGCTGTGTTTTCTTTGTTACAGACTTGTAAAGACAGCGGAGGCCTTGGCAATTCATGACTTTAAGCCAGACAGGTCTTTGTGTACAAAAGAAGCATGCACAATCCCTACTTCTGCCTTGGCCGTAGAGGGATAGACATTTATTTATTTTGTTTATTTAGTTATTTTATGTACCTTTCCCTTATTTCTACGATTATTACTAGTATTACTATTCTCACTCTGAATTGTTTCCGCTTGTGCCACTTGTCATTCTATGTCCAAAATTTTTTTACTATAGTGAATTCTATCTATTCGCCTACTAATCCTACAAGTAGGTACCCCTTTCCAACATCTATACACCTTATGAATTATTCAACATATGAAATTAATTGTTTTGCTACTTGATATTTAACTATGATTATAATCACAAATATTTTAACGTAGCATAACAGATTAGTTATGGGGTGTCAAAATAAATAGTCGTATTTGTGTGACAAACGTGCTAGGCTGAAATCGATTACAAAATATTGTAAAATGGGAGAGAAATGGTGGTGATTTGTCATAATACATTTGTAGAGTGTGGGGTAGGAAAATTGACAAGTCAGTTGAGTGGCTAGTACAATGAGAGATTCATTGCAGTCTTACTATCTCCTTAATACATACCACTTTGTACTAGACACTCACCTGACACCTTTTATTGATGATTCTTCTTCTCACCAAGAGTGCTCCTTCCCTTTAACGCTCTTGGCTTTTTTTCCTTTGCTTATTATTACTATTATTATTATTCGTCATAATTTATGCCCTTCATGCAAACATTCTCTCAATACTATCGAATTTTTCGTTTATACTATCCGGACTTATTATTAGTGATATTATCTCCTTTCAACGAATTTATCATCAAGCTGTACAATCGTATATATATGGTTTTTAAGAAGTTATATCCGGTGAGGGAATTGAAACATAGGTGTGAATGCATGAAATAATAATAATAATATGAAGTGCAATTAAAACTAAAATGTTTGTGATTATAATCGTAGTTAAATGTCAAGTGGCAAAGCAAATTAATGTCATATATAGAATAATTCATAGGATGGATAGAACTTGAAAAAGGTGTGCAATTATAAGATTAGTAGACAAATCGAAAAAATAAAAACGTTACGTGATATTGTGTGAAATTTAATAGCATAGAATTTAATGTTGCATAAAGGAATTGATTTAGAATGACAAGTGGAACAAGTGAAATAATACCGGGGACAATTAAAAGTGAGAGTAGTAATAGTAACAATTGACTTAATAAGGAAGAGTATACAAACTGAATAGACAAAAATGAAAAAATGGAGAGTTGGTAGAGCTAAAATATGATTGGGGATTACCATACTTTAGCATAGAGGGATTAAGACCATGAAAGTTGGAGGGGTTGAACGAACTTTTTCTGTACACAGAGATCTGGCTTTTCTGTTTCGATAGCCAAAGCTTCAGCAATACAGATGAGTCGAGTACGTAGGGATTTGGGTAGATTACTCTTTGCCTTGTAGATGACTTTGAAGGCGGAGGCTATAGAGATAGGGTGATCATTATCGACCAGATGTTCAGTGATCGCGCTTCTTATTGTTCCACTACCACCTTTTCGTAACCATGCAGGATAGTGTTCTTGCACCCTCTTGGACAAAACTCGTGTCGAACGACCGATATACCTAGCTCCACAAGAGCAGGTGAATTGATAAACACACATAGAGTTGGTCAACAGCGGAATCTTGTCCTTCAGGTTATTGAATAATAATGGTCGACTAGAAAAGGCTATTCTCAGGGATGCAGCAGGGAATGTTCTTTTCAGGGATTGTGATATCCTCCGTTTCATGATATCGGAAGCTAAGTCCCCTTTGAATTCCAAGCTCATGTAAAGTATCTTATTGGGTACGGTTGATAACTCACGTTTTTTAGGATTTGAATGAATATTCTTATCTATAAAACGTGGTGGAAATCCATTTTCTATTAGGATTTTCCTCAAGATTTCATTGTCAAATATTTTAATTGCATTTCATACTACTGTTATTATTATTATTTCATGCATCCACACGTTTGATCTAATTCCTTCACAGGGTATAATTTCTTAAAAATACCATATATATATATATATATATAATTGTACAGCTTGATAATAAATTCATTGTTGAAAAGAGTCTCTTCGCTGAATATTGTGTTCTTAACGCTACAATGGGAATTATTAAATTATAGTTTATGAAATACACCCTTTTTCTCTCAGTTCCTTTAATTCAAATCTTGTAACAGCCACTTGATGCTCTTTGATTAGGATGCTATGGAACGTATTCCCATTCTTCTGTCTTAAATAATAGCGGCAATCTACCAGGGTTGATTCAAGCCGTTCGAGATTCTCATCAGAAGCGGTAAGCAAGTTACGTGTATGTATACAGAAGTCTTCAAACTTGGTATGAGTGTCAGTTTGCCTTAAATCTTCACGAAAATCACAAAATTTAGGTCCAAGAGATAGAGCTTCAAGTTTCTGATCTATCAAGAGTTACTCTAGAAAACTTATGGACTTGCCTTTTAGGGTTTGAGAGAAATTCGACTTGCAACAGAGGGGGAGGGGAGGGCAAGTTCGGCTATCGAAGCCTTTGATTAATTGTGCTTGCTTTTTTGCAGATTTATATTTAGCGATCTCATAAAAGTACTGCATGGATTGTAATTTCATAATTCCTAGAAGATCAAGGAGTTTTGTGATATTAGACTGAACTGATTAAGTCCACATAGCTTTAAAGTCTTTTCACTCTGTAATGTTCAACACCTGCTTATCCTTTATAAATTCGATACATTTTCTTGATTCAGAGAACATTATGTTGAAATTTATGACTGGGATTTCTTCTCCCATCCAACAGTGACATTCCCACTTATCTGTTAGTCCTTTCGCTTTGATTATTGTCTTTTTGTATCCTTCTATCTTCGTCCCAACAGTTTCAGCCACAATGCTTTATATAATGAATACCCTTCATTCTAGTATTCTTTCCATACTACCGAATTTTCTATTTATACAATTCTCACCCCCTAACTGTTTGTTATATATATGCTGAGATTTTGTAAATTCCGGTTTAATAATACTTTGATAAAGCTATTAGCATTAAATAGCGAAACGTCAGTAAAAACAATATCGTTTTGTTTTTCATCCATTGGGAAATACAAAAACCTTTATTATAATGAATTCTGACTTATTATTAGTGGCATTATCTCTTTCCTCATTACATGACCCCACTTACTTCATTTCAAGCATTGATTGTTTCATGATGAACTGTTCACCGAGATCTCACCATCTCCGCTTCAATGCATACTACTTTGTACTAGTCACTCACTCGTTTGACACCTTTAAAATCGTGAAAAGACCTATCAGTGTATAACTCTCCGGTGACTAATCACCATCATTGTCTTACAATTCACAATATTTTGTAGTTGGATTCAGCCCAGAACGTTTGTCGCACAAATACTTTCCATATCAGATAAGTTTGTTCGATATATCATACAGTGATACAGTATTAGTAACTGGATAGTGTTTCGAGCATAATTTATCGCGCATAATCATGTCACAATGAGTATAACTCGCTTTGATTCATGACAGACGCAACCAATTTACTTGTGTCAGCCTGTTTTGAATGACGTTCATGATCACCAACCAAACCGAATACACTAAAGCATGATCCGAATTCAAATAATTACTATAGAAGAATCGGTAATTTTTTATGCACTTTAGTCACCTTCCGTTAATATATAACCTAAATTGTTATAGTTGGCGGTGTGAGTACACAGTTCATACATTACGTCCAGTTGACATATTAAACAATAATTATTTTGATTGGACACTAGCCAGTGACTAGTGTGATGTGTCTAGTCTTTTCTTTGGTGCAGACTGAATTCTATCAGTCAGGTTTGCAATGTGGCCACCATTCTAGGTATAGCTCGCCATCACGGTGCACATTGATTTGATGATATTAGATAGTTGGAGGAAGCCTTGGTCCTTGACTGATAGAATTCAGTCTGCACCAAAGAAAGGACTAGACACGCCACACTAGTTACTAGTGTCCAATCAAAAATATCCAATACAGTCCTACAGGAGGTCAATCGTGAGTCCGAATAGCTCAGTGGTAACGTCTCTGATTGCAGTCGGCACTGGGTGACGCGGGTCCGAATCTCAGAAGGAACATGAGTTCCTCCAAGGTTTCAGATACGCCTTGTTGACTGGTGAGTGCTAACTAGCACGAAATCTAGGTAGAAGGCTTCCTGCCGATTGCCTCCCACCGGCAGTGATCATAGAATGTTTACTGAATTGCTAATACACGTTAAATATATCAAGGCAAAAAGCAACGAGGTTGTGACTATATAATATTCAATCAACAATAAACTCCATTCCTCTGACAATATTAATTTTTTCACAAAAAAAGGAAGTTTCGCGAGGGGACTGCATGTAAGTACATTTCAAAAAATGTTTTGTAAGCTCTAGTAGAATTACAGAAGAGAAGTAAAGAGGAAAGCAGTAATAATAATGATAATAACAAAAAGAGTGAAAACTAGAGTGTACACTCACATCTCACTAGTTAATTTCATCACTGTTTCACTCCCAGTTATGTACAGGTTATTAATAAGTTAAGTAATTTTTTTCAAAATGCCTTAGTAGTGATCACAGTAGTTTGTAGAAGTGTTAGTTGTTAGAAGACAGCTACATTTTAAGTGGAAATATATTTACACCGGCACAGTGTTATCTTAGTTTCGGTTTGGAGGTGGTTATCCTCTTTTGCATTCCATGCACACATAAGCCATTCCCGTGTAAAATGTCGCATTCATTACCACTGCCTAATGAAGCTGCTTCATCTAATAACCTGAAAACAGTAGAAATTGACCCTTTTCCTGTTATCCCCGAAGAAGAGTCTATGTCATTCACATTTCCGGTTTGTTCAATGTCAACGATATTCTCGCCTAGTTTATTTTTCAATACAGTCTTGCTGGTTGCATAGTTGTTATCAGTGTTGACCGGGTGTTTATTGATTGTTGAGGTTTGTAAAACTTTCCCGTTTCCGTCATTGGACAGTGATACAGCTTGATTTTTCACTGGAACACTTGTATTCACTTGTTCATCGTGTGTACAACACATTTTTTGCCCTGTCAACTGTCTCAGTTTTGCTTGAAGTCGATTGCTCAACTCAATTAATGCCTTTTTTTCTAATGCTAGTTGATGGATTTGTTTAACAGCAGCCAATAGTTTAAAATTAACTTTTGCTTCATCCTGTTGAATACATTTATCATCATCTGTTCTTGCTGTCATTTCAGGTGTCAGTTGAGCAACTTGTTTCGCCTGTTCTGACATAATGCTTATAGTGTACTTTAGACGTGAATTTTCATTTTCTAGCCTATCACAGGTATCTTGTAAATAATCAATTTGATTGATTATATCTTTATGTTTACAGTGTACAATTTCTTGTTTATTCATTTCAGGTTTTATTAGGGCTTGCTTCAGGTCATTACTGAGACGTGCAACCTCATTTTCAGCTGAACGGCACTTACTCTCAGCATGTTGACATTTTGCCTTTTCTTCTTTCCACATATCGACTGCTTTTTGTGTTTGTTGTTTTTCTTGACCAATGGAATCAAGTAGCCTTTGGTTTTCAGATTTCAGTGAATTGACTGTCTCTTCGTGTTTTGTTGTCGTCAACACCATCTCCTGTTCATAATGTTCCAGTTTAGCCCTAAACAAATCAAGGTGTAAAACAAACGGATGACAACAATGTACAGGTAAGTATGAATTAAGATTTTCAGTTTTACTTTCAAAAATTTAAAACAATGAATCCCTTTTATAAATTTGGATAGCGTTATTAGAAGATGGAGATTATCTTAAAAATAATGTGATTTATTTGCGCTATACACTTCGAACAGTCTGAACACACATTTACTTGTCAAGTCGATATTTATGAAAAAATTAAGGGTAATTAAATTAAACAAAGTGACAAAAAAGGGATTTAAGAATGATTAACACAACGTTTGGTAATCTAGTCAAGTAAGGATTGCCAAGGTAGGTTAAGAGTAATAACAAACTGTTTTTGAATACACAGGGGCGGGAAGGGGGGCTTAAGTTTATGAATAGCTTTAGCCTCAGCGTATTTCAATAAGCCCAAGTTTTATTCTTATATCAATGATATTTCAATAAGCGCCCTTGACCACTTTTATAGATGACCTTAGAGGCCGAGTTAACATCAGTCTTATGGTTAATTTCGACTAGGTGTTTAGCTATAGACGAAGTTGGTAGTCTGACACCTGTGTCTATTGGTTTTCCACAATTCATTTGTTTTTCTAACCATTTCGGGATATGCTCTCCCACACCCCCACATGCAGGGGAGATGATGGTCCATTAGTTAACATAATCAATCAAATGTGTATAGGGTGTATAGTCAGAAAAATGTGGCGACTATCACCCCAACTTACACATGCACCCCAATACAGTTTCTGATATTATTTTCATTTGCCTTTATTGGCTATATGTACCCTATTATTCACGGACTTATAACTGTAGAGCCTGAAGAAGAAGAAGTTATCGAAAACAATTGTTCGCTCAAAATCTTGTTTTGATTTCAATATGGGCATATTTCATTTACTGAAATCTTGTGAGCATCCCGTTGCACTGAAGGCACTCAACGAGTATCTGAAGTATAGTGCAAAGCTCGCTGAAGCGAAAACTAATGTGGAGTTTATCCGAAACTGGATTGAGAATAACCATTATCCTAAATCATTTTCCAAATCACTTCGTCGATGTAAAGTGCGCCCTAATACGAAATCTCTCAAGCGATTCGCTCTTAATCAGATTGAATCTCTTCAAGGATATATTAGCACATTAGAAAGAAATATTCCACAGAGACAATATGCTGTTGACGAACTTCCCACACATTTAAAGGAATTATTCTTAAAATACGTCCATGATGTTTCTAAAACTAGAGAAACTAAAAAACGAATCCAGCTTACAAAAGGATTAGACACGGAAATATCAGAATCCCATTTTCCCAAGGACCCTGAAAGGTACGTCTTCAACTTTTCCAGTGTTACTTTAGATAAGACTGCTATGGAAGTGTTGTCATTGGGCCCTAAATTTTGCGATAAAAGAGTTAATATTGACCAATTACAGACAGAAGTACAGTTTGAAAACCTCTTCATGCAGACACTAGACCTAACACCGTCCTCCGAATACGAGTTAGACAGATTTAAGAGTACCTTGGTTGACTGTTGTTACCAATACAATAATGCCAAGATCGACAAGAAAAGTATATTAACTAAAAAGCATAGAGAATGCCTCAAAAAACTAAGGTCTGATGACAGCATTATTATCACGAAACCGGACAAGGGATCAGGTACGGTAATTTTAAACAAATGCGACTACATTGATAAGATGAACACCCTACTGAATGATCGTTCCAAGTTTCAAAAATTAGGTAACAGCAAAGATTCGAATGAAGCAACAGAACGCCAGTTCGTCAAAACTTTGAAGTCTTTAAAAAATGAAAATCTAATTGATAGTTCCATATTCGACGCTATTAAGCCCACCGGAACTCATACACCCAGACTTTATGGCTTACCTAAGATACATAAGCAGGGAATTCCCCTACGACCAATCCTGGACATGTCGAACTCGCCTTTCCATTTAACTGCCAAATGGTTAGTTCATCTGTTAGAACCGCTACATCGCCAGTTGGTTAAATATAGTGTAAAAGATGTCTTTGACTTTGTTGAAAACATTAAAGATATGAACTTAGCAGACAAAACTATGTTATCGCTGGACGTAACATCACTATTTACCAACGTCCCCCTTGTAGAAACTGTCGACTACATATGCGAGCAACTCGTAGAAAAGAAAATAGAAATCGGAATCACACCAAGAAAATTGAAAGAATTACTACTAAAATGCACTATGAACGTTCAATTTGTATTTAATAAGGAGTATTACCGCCAAATAGATGGGGTTGCTATGGGTTCTCCCCTTGGTTCCTTATTAGCTGACATATTTCTATCTAAATTGGAAAATGGTCCTTTAAAAGAGATACTAAACAAACTCGATTATTATTGCCGATATGTTGACGATACCTTTATCATTTGTAACAATAATCAAGATAGACAACACCTGCTCCAAGTCTTCAATAAGGTACACCCAGCTATTAAATTCACTTGTGAAGAGGAACTCCAAGGTAGTATTCCATTTCTGGATGTTCTTCTTACAAAGAGAACAGACGGTACCTTAAAGCGTAACATCTATAGGAAAGCGACGTGGAATGGACAATACACCCACTTCCATAGCTTCATACCTATACAATATAAGCGCAACCTAATTCGTTGTCTTAGTCATAGAATTAGGCGCATATGTACCGACGACTGCATTGAAGATGAAATAAAAAATCTCACAAACGCCTTGCTACAGAACGACTATCCTACCAACTTTGTAAAGAAGTATATCTATGAAACTACACACAAAACTAAGCGAGACACAGTAAGTAAGAAAAAGCTTTACTTAAATTTACAATTCAAAGGCGATATATCCAGCGACATATTAAACCGTAGATTAACGAGAGCAGTTGAAAGAACTTTCAGTGCCGCAAAACTGCATGTCACTTTCTCAACCAAACCGATATTGACACTGTGCATTAAAGATAGATTACCCAAAATGACGACATCAATGTGTGTATATAAATTCAACTGCTCCTGTGGAGCTAGTTATATAGGTCGTACCCAAAGGAATTTATCTTTACGCACTCGTGAACATATTCCAGTCTGGCTTGGGAAAAGAGCGACCAAATCATTAAATAGTGCAATTCTGGCTCATCTAGTGGATAGCGAACACAGCATCAAAGTAGAAGAGTCATTTACAGTTGTGTATCGAGTACCAAACAATCTCCCCAAAGGCACACGATTACGCCTCCTAGCCATAGCTGAGGCTTTAGAGATTAATAGAGAAACACCAGACTTATGTGTACAGAAAAAACTTATTCACTCTCTCTGTCTACCCTGGCCCACTATAAGGTCACCAGGATCATAATTTTCCGTATTATTATTACCATTATTATCATTTTGTGATATCATATCTTTATTATCCATTTCTCCACCCAGTTTATTTCACCTCATTGTTACCCTTAATTTTGTCAACCTTTGTGATTTTACACTAAGCCTACCAACTCTGTAACATCTTATTACAATTTAGCCTCTTTATTTTATCATTAGACATTATCGGTCAGCCCTCACATTCAGTGTCCCCTTTGTTAATGTGTATTTGTATGTATTTTGTGGCTATCGCATTTCTCTCACCCCAATGACACTTGTATTCTGTTGACTATAAAACAGCACTATATCACCCAATTGTTCATTCACACTTCATCACATTTTTCTGACTATACACCCTATACACATTTGATTGATTATGTTAACTAATGGACTATCATCTCAACTTACACATGCACCCCAATACAGTTTCTGATATTATTTTCATTTGCCTTTATTGGCTATATGTACCCTATTATTCATGGATTTATAACTGTAGAGCCTGAAGAAGAAGAAGTTATCGAAAACAATTGTTCGCTCAAAATCTTGTTTATATTATTCTGTACAGAGTTAAGTTTATCTAATAGACGACTAGCATCTTCATGTTCGTCACATATCAAAATGATGTCACCTACATATCTCCTATAGAAGGGCAATTTAGAAATTAAATCAAGTGACAAGCTTTCAACACAAGACATGTACACTTTCGCTAACAAAGGTTCTAATGGACTGCCCATAGTATTACCATCCACTTGTCGAAAATGTTCACCTTCACACGTGAAATGGACGTTGTCAATATATAATAGTAAAAAATCTTTCAAATAAGTTAAAGGAAAAGGGAATGAAAAACAACTAGAAGATATATAGTCACAAAGAATATCAACAGTCTTAATCAGTGGTACATTAGTAAACAAAGAATTAACATAAAATGAATACATTTTCCTATCTTTTATGTTCATATCTGCGAGACAGTCAACAAGTTCAAATGTAAATATATATGTAAAACTTGGGTACTATGGTAGTAAGTAATTCCATATTTGTTTGTTTATGAGATATGTGCATCGGTGGCACAGTGGTTAGGACTCTCGCTGACCATGCACATGGTCCGGGGTTCGATCCCCTGCCGGCGCACACCCGATATCTATGGTCGGCCTGCAAAATTGGGCTACCGATATCACATACTGTAAATTCCATAACTGTACCAAAAATACGGTGTGGAATCAAGCTATAATAAATAAAATAAATAAATAAATATCACACAGTGAAGCATAGTATTATTTACTGGATGACAAGGTTTCGAACAAAATTTATTGTTCATAATCATCTCATCAATTATAATCACACAACTTCGAAACTTGACTTTTATAGCTTTCTTTGTTCTCTCCTATTTGTCGTCGTTGGGGTAGTAGAATTTCCCAGATATCTGAGACAGGTGTTGAATCATTCTTATCACACATATTTGCAGTAGATTCGTTAAAAAAAGCTTCTGTTATCAATCTCTCCCTCCACCCTGTGACATTAGATTTTAAAACTGACATGCCATCCCATCCTATTGTATGGTTGTGTGTAATTGCATGTAGTGAGTGATATAGCTGAACTATTCTCTAGATTTCTTATCTCATTGGGGTCAAAGCAGTAGAACAAGGGCAGTCAGACTAGCCGAGCATAAAAACGT